GTAACATTACCGCGCCATTTTAATTAAAGTACCCATTTGAACCTTTCTCAGATACTCCATTGTCTCTTACTTTTAAAGCTTCTCTCCTGGACGCGAGAATAACGAACAAAGCTAATATCATGAAGAATATGTTTCTCTGTTGTCCACGTTCATAAAGCATAAAGCAACAGCATCAGAGCACGGTGCAGAGTCTATAGATGAGTTTACAGTAGTCCCTCGTTCTTATTATACATCATGTAGTCCGCTGTATAGAAAACTGTAGTTTCCATAGTTTCTCCACAGCAGCAGACGCACATTTATGACGTCCGCTGGTGCATCAAAAACACGGATAGTGAAAGTGCAGTCGGATTCTCTAAAGCACCGCGGTCTCTTCTCCTAAGTCCTTTTGAATTCTCCTATCCACTATCCCTTAACCCCATGACGTTTCACTCAGAGGTCAAGGAATAGACGATAGGGTTAGACGTTAGGAGCTGATTTTTGGATTATCCGAACGCAACCATGCTCTGGCAGCTAGCGCGTGCACGAGAGAGGGGAGGCACTTGAGCGTGCTTGAGAGGGGAGGGACTGCAGGCACGGCTGCAGTGCAGGGATTGGAAGCAGAGCGCTGAACACACACGGCTCTTATTAAAACAGCGCTTTCTCACCGGAGTACTTTCCCCCGTCATTCTTAAAGTACCGATACTAATTAAACGGAGGAATCGTAACGTTTTTAACGGCAGGGTATCGCGCTACCTTTCAAGTATCGGTACGCCGTGCAACACTAATCTAAAGAACAGCAAATCCATTCCTAATAAATATTTAACATCTTTAGTTGGAAACAGGACATGCCCAATGTAAGTGTGTTTGGTATAGCAGCAATATATTAACACTGCGAATCCCCCTCAGCAGGTTTAGCTTTTATATTTGATGTGTACTGTTGCTATTGTAATTCTCGTAGCAGGCTAATTACCGTATTAACTAAACTGAATTGCCACAAGACACGCCTTTTTGCAGTGGACTAAACGAGCAGTGGTGTAGTAATGTTACTAATCATAAAGAGCCAGAAACAATGAAATACATGTAACACACTTTTCACAACTTAGTCAAGCACATTGCCATAGCAAGAATAGTGACAACGTTGTCAGGCTTTATTTTTCGTAACCACTTTAAGTCCGAAATTATAAATCCTTTATTTGTCCAACAGCGTGGGAATATACAGCAAAACACTGTAGATAAAAGGCAAATATAAAAATAGTAGTCTAACATTCAATATGGAGTCAAGCACAGGTTCATAAAAATAAGAACAATTAGTGTTAAATCATGGCAAAATTAGCAAACAAGCTAAACGTACACCGTTAGTGACCTAGCTAGCTTTGCAATTGCTTCCAATTCACTGGTTACAGAAAATGAGCCCAACAGCATGCTAGTAGCTAGCTGGGTCTGGCGATAACAGCCCCTCCCCCAACGCTCTGAATAAGAACAAGCTAACTAGCTGAGCTTGCTCCACTCTCTCCCCGGCAAGCTGCGATCACACTTTATGGCCCGCTGACTTTTCTTGTCATCATGACAAATAAAAACAATAGACATTTACTTTTTAACTAGTCAAATGACCACAGAACAGTTCAATGTTGGTTCTAATCATATTCTGTTTCTATGATTTACCCTTAATAAATCACAAAATAAAATAACATTGAAGAGACACTTACCAGGTTTGGCAAACTCCCAGCTCCCTTCAAGTCAGCAGGGAATTGTGGCAGGTTGTTGGAAAGCGCCGTCTTGTTCTGGAGTTGTTGGGCATTGACCCCGACTGCCCCCATCTGCTGCACCCCAGACTGACCATACTGCTGGCCAAATGGAGCTCCTGACATACCCATCTATAATAGACAATCAGGACAGAGGGAGGTCAGAAATGTTGCACATATTGTAGCATAACATCACATTAGATCAATCTTTTGCATGAGCGAAGAGTCTTTGTAACAAGGCATATGGTCCAGTACACATCAGTCAAAAGTAAACATATAGTGAACATTGCAAAACTCTATGTCATCTCTATGAAAATGCAAATAACCCATGTAAATCTTTTATCTTATTCTGCCTTTGCATTTAAAGGCTGCTTGAAAGCATCAGGTAGGAATTTGCCTCCAGTTAGATTTTTCCTCGTCCCAAAGAACGGCACATTTGCTGATTCCATTGTGGCAACACCAACATAGTGTCCTAGTCTTATACACAACTCTCTCTCCTTTATTGTTTTAGCTGTGTTTAATGTGCGCTCACCATAGTGTGAATTACATGAGAAGACGCTTGTTGTGCTAACTTCATAACCTGTTGCTAACACCACATGGCAAAAAGTTTCAGAGCGGCAGTCAGAGTTGTGAATTACATTTTATGACGGAGCACATATGACGCCACCCTCAAATTTCAAAACTCATCAGATCTGCTCAAACCACAAATATACTGTACTGTCATGAATAAAGTTGGCAGTTGCGCTGGTCAACGGCAGTTTGATTCTCGTCAGGGGTCAATTTTGTGCAGGTTATAAAAAACCATGATCCAAGCATCCACCAACTATGTTTGTACCACAAATGTCTGCTCCATTATGCCTCTGTGCGAATGATGTTGTACCTTGACTTCACACCATAAGCAACAAATGATGGACTTCTGTTTAAAAGAAGAGCTTGAAAGTCAATCTTCTCAACCTGAATGAATACAAAGTCAAATAACTCGTATTTTCTACAGAAATATGCTAGAAATCGTATTTTTTAATTAGCCTTGAAAACGACAGTTAGATTTCTTGTATTGCCTTGAGAAGTCATTTATTCCGATGGCCCTCAGCATGCATCGGTCTGCCTTTCTTCCATGGTGGCCAAAGCAGCAGCCTGCTCTGCTTCGCGGAGGTTCCCAACTGCCAGCGGTGCTCAGACAGAGCAAGCCCAGCCCACAGGAGAGAGCGAAACGGGAGGAGACACAGAGAGAAAGATCAGCTTGCTCAACAGCTGAGTAGAGCACTGCACTGCTGCCTGCCCCTCCCCCCTCTGCTGCACAGAAACATACAGATGCTTGCCTGCTTCCTCACTCCCAATTATACATGCACACGCACGGTCTCATCCTCATCTCACACTGAGGTTTTCTCACTTAATGATCCGCAGTTTACTACAGGTCACCAGGCCAAATGACAGCTCTGTTGCACAGGAAGACCTGCAGTGTTTATCTTCTTCTTGGCATGTCCTTTTCCATTCATCCCTCACCCCATCAACAACAACACACAAACCCGCTCCTCTAAACATGATTTACAGCCAGCCATATTATAAAAGGCCAAAAGAGAGAGAAGAAAAAGGAGTTGGCAGCAAAAAGTGAAGTCTAGCAAATACCTAAATGGTGGAAAACAAACAAACATCTGAAACCGCAAAGCCTGCTAATTAACTCAAGCATTCCATAATATAATTGTATTTCTGTTTAGGGGAGGGAAGAGGTTCTCGGCATGACTTTCAAACAGGATGGACTGTCCTCAGTGTGTCAGGGGTCTGTAGCGATATTGGCAACCCACTGGAACCGTCTTGAAACATTGATCCCTTCTGGTTTACTGTACTTCATGTGAATGTTTTGCTGTCCCACCATTAATTTCTATACAACCAATCGGAGATGTCCAAGAGAACCAATGCTTTGATACAAAGTTGATGCCATTATTCTGTATTGTAACGGTATTTGTTTTTCTACAGTCCTGCAGGTACCATAATACTATGGATCACGAGTCTAGACTTGCATAGGGACAAAAGCAAATGGGTTTGGGAAAAACAGAGATCTTTGCTGTGAGATCTTTTTGGACGGCATTCTATGATAACTATCGCTCAGCAAGTGACAAATTGAACCAAGAGCTGCCATGGTAAAATCAGAGAAGAACAGTAAACTCAGTATTGACCCTTTGCAGCCCTTTTATCTTGTGTTATTGGTGAATTTTGAAAAACAAATCCATGTTGAAATCAGCAATAGGAGAGCCAGTAACTGTAAGCTGCAATTGGGCAGCACAGTTCTGTTTGGCAAAGTAACAGCTAACAGCAACTGTAACTGGAAGATTCATTGAGCTTTTTGTTGCAATTATGATGCATGTAAGCTCTGGCTTTCTTTATCTTTTTTGCAATGCCGTTGTTATTTATTTGGAAGAAGCTAGCTAACACTAACAATACTGCTGTCAATTATGTGAGCAAAGTGAAACTATGATAAGTAAGTGAATGTGTGCTGTAACTACCGAAAAAGCCTTAGTCCTAACATTTAGGGGAAGTTTCTATAAAAGTGCATACTATCGACTTTTGGTTGTTTGTATTTAATTATTTGCCAATGGAATGCCACATATTTATGCTATGCTACAAACCAAAGTAACTTGACGAGGCTCAGAGTCTTTTCAACACATCACTATCCCACGTTTCATCATAAAGTCTTTCGGATGGCAGCTTGGCAAGGTAAATGTGACATGTGCCAGATTGTGTCGTTTTATCATGAGAACATACACTTCTCACAACTAGGTTCAAATCTGTGTCCTTCTCTTTGCTAACTTCATCCTCTAAAACATAATCTAGGTATTTGGTTTTAGTATTGCGGAATAAAGATACATGATTTACGTCACACACCAAGCAATTTGATTTTGTACTATAATGTAAAGAGATATAGGCAGACATATACTGTTTACATCTGTATTGGAAAGGAGGGGCTTGTTTTTATGTGGCAATGTTGAAATAATCTTAGAGGGGGGGCTCTGGTTTAACTTTGGTTTCCTTTCAAACCACAAAGACCAAGGACTCGTAGACACAGGAAAACTGTATCTCACATTGAGCACTTCAAAGTAAATATATTTACATGGAACGAAAAACCAGCAGCCAAACATGTTTAACATTTTTCATCCACAAATGAAAATAAAAAAGCTTCACTATGTAGTAGTACCATGACACAACTGCAGTTCTTGATCCATTTGCATTGTTTGTGCAAACTAGCGAGGCATGGGAATGCAATAATAAAACACATCATAACTGCTATAAAACTCTCCAATGGGCTGATTCAAACCCTCAGAATGATGCATTGGCTACAGATTCAACCTCCCCAATTGGGTAACTGCTTCTCCAGTAGACTCTTGAGGAAGTCATTTGGATATTAATCTAGATAAAAAACATACAAAATATTGTTTATAAAAAGGTACATTGCTTCAATCAGTCAATCAATAGGATACGGCTGTAATAGGCCTAAGGCCTTTTAGTCGCTCATAAATATTGCAAGAACAACAGCCCATATCATTGCTGAAAACATTTCCTAAAAAAAAAGTGTAGGCTTTGTTAATATCCCTGTATTGAATAGCAGGGAGTAGGGCTTCACGATATCAAGAAAACTTGCGATATGCGATAACGCTTTTGAATATTGTGATGACGATATCACTTGCGATATTTAAACATACACTGCCAACATAACCACAGACAGAGAGTATGCAGAAACTAAGGGTGTAACGGTATACGTATCGAAAATATTTGGTATGGGCCCTTCGGTTCGGTACACGTGTGTCTCAGGTGCTGCGTCGCAGCATTCAGAGTCATTTGCTCACATTGGGTTCAACGCGTCATAGAGCGAGCAAGTCATTTCATTGGACGAGAGGCATACTATGAGAGCTGGTCACAGGGATGCGTTCAAATTTAGTCAGTAATTTGAGGAACTGTCGAAATGGCGAACGCAGATAAAGTTGAGCTCGAAAATCCTCCAGCATCATTGAAGTCTCCAGTTTGGGAACATTTTGGTTTCGGAGGCCCTTGCGGGACTTGCGCTCGGCTCCCGCAGGTTTTTTAATAATTATAAGCTCTCTTCTCAAAAAATAGCAAAGCTTTACTGCTTTTTTTTTCCTGTTCCTGTAGACCACCCTAAAGAAATAGTCTCATAGACTTCTAGCTAAGGGGCTTTAGCTTCCCACGGACTATGTCCTGTTGTGTCTTGTACCGCGGCTAAACCGGGTGCGCTACTCGCCCCCCTTAAATACCACGTGGCTCGCGGCACTCGAACGCTCGCGGCCTCGAGCGTCGCGCGCTTTGACTCCGAGATGCACCATTTTGAGCACCATTGTACTTCTCGGCGAACCCTCGGCTTGTCGGCCGCGAAATTCTCTCGGTTCGGTTTACGTAGGCGAGTGGCATTACATTTTTCTGTCATAGGATGGATTCCCTGCCGAGTTCAGTTTTAAGTTTGGAGGGGGGGGGTGAGGCCCCACCTGGCAGGGAGAGTCGGTGACCAGACCGCTTTTGTGACTCCAACCTCCGAATTTACGGATCACCCTCAAACCCAAAACGTGAAGTCAGTACGAATAAGAAAACGCATGGCCACTTATAAGTGCAACCCCCCTACGGAAAAGGTATACTTCACGTTCAAAAACTACATAACGGTCGGCGCATGGTTAAAATCAAACTTGTTACGTCTCTTTGTCGAAACCAAGCCAGGTGGACAGAAACAGGCAGTAGGAA